CTGCCAAGGTGTTCCCTCTGGCACGCAGACGGCGGGACGCGGAGCCAAGGGCGCGCTCGGCTCTCCGTCCCGGCTGGCGTTCTCCTCTTCAAACACCACGTAGGGCGGGGGGCCGCGAAGCCCGGCGATAATTCAGGTCCCCACCTTCTCTATCGTGGTCCCAGGGTGCTGCTGCAAGGAAAACACTTGGGAAAACAGCTGGAAGAGCTGCAAACTAGTTCATCCCATGTCTCTTTTCCAGCTGTTCCTGTACAACCACGTTGGCCAGAATGGCATCGGCACATCAATAGGTAAGGAGCTCCTCGGCGCAGCCGGCTCCAGCCACCGAAGGGGCGATGGGAGACGCTGCGGACTCACCTGCCTTTGTTTCTCCTCTCGAACCGGGCTCCCGGTCCGGGATTTGGGGGAGGGTGGTGCTGGACGAGCGTCCTGCTCCTGCTGGGTGGGATCTCCCGGGGAAAGCAGAGACGGATGCGCGAGACTGCGATGTCTGCACAGGGACGGGGACGACGGACCCGACGTCCTGCTGCTCCCTGCGCTTAACGATTTAATCTCTTCCCGGGTACCTCCGCGGCCGTCTCGCTCCTCACAGCCATGCTGATTGTCTGCGGCGCTCTGGTGAACGGGCCCTACGCTCTCATCACGACAGCGGTCTCGGCAGATTTGGTAAGAGGCGCAGCTCGCAGAATCACAGAATCACAGAATAGTAGGGGTTGGAAGGGACCTCTGTGGGTCATCTAGTCCAACCCCCCTGCCGAAGCAGGGGCACCTACAGTAGGCTGCACAGGATCTTGTCCAGGCGGGTCTTGAATATCTCCAGAGAAGGAGACTCCACAACCTCCCTGGGCAGCCTGTTCCAGTGCTCCGTCACCCTCAGAGGGAAGAAGTTCTTCCTCATGTTCAGTCGGAACTTCCTGTGCCTCAGTTTGTGCCCATTGCCCCTTGTCCTGTCACTGGGCACCACTGAAAAGAGCTTGGCCCCATCCTCCTGACACCCACCCTGCAGATATTTGTAGGCATTTATAAGGTCCCCTCGCAGCCTTCTCTTCTTCAGGCTGAACAAGCCCACACCCTTGCCCACCCAAAGGCCGCTCCCTCTTTCCCGGAGGGATGTTTGCTGGGATTTTTGCATTTTAGCTTTGTTTTCCGATGCCTCTGAGCCCAGTGGAGGACAACAGCGCTGTTGTGCCTCGTGCTGCAGCCCACATCCTCCCTTAAACACGGCTTTTTTTCCTATTGCCCTTTACCTTGGCCATGTGAGTCTGCTTCAGCCCTGCTGCTTCTCCCTCTAAGCACAATCAGAGCGGAAAAATCTGCTGGAAAACCACCTGCGGTCATTCCCTGCTGTTGGCGATCCTGGTTTTGCCGTGGTTTGGGTGCGGGCAGCATCTGAGTTCAGTTTTCTCGTCCGCAGCTGGGTGCGATGCGTGGAATCACAGAATGTTCGGGGTTGGCAGGGCCCTCTGTGGGTCACCCAGTCCAACCCCCTGCCGAAGCAGGGTCACCCAGAGCAGGCTGCATAGCACCACGTCCAGGCGGGGCTGGAATATCTCCAGAGAAGGAGACTCCACAGCCTCCCTGGGCAGCCTGGGCCAGTGATCCGTCACCGGCCTCACGCGATGACTTGCCCGCTGCAGACCCCAAAGCCACTTTTCCACCTTATATTTTCCTCCTCCGTCCCTGCAGGGAACCCACGAGTCTCTCAAAGGAAACGCCAAAGCCCTTTCTACCGTCACGGCCATCATCGACGGCACAGGATCCGTAGGTACATAGACACAGGGGATGCCGAGCGCCGATTTCCCCCGGCGCCGCGGTGCTGGGGGGGCCCTGAGCCCCTCTCCCCCACGCACGGGGCATCTCCTGATGTGCCTCGTGATTCACAAGTTTTCCCACACTTTCCAGCCACGAACACATACTAAATACAAAAGCCTCATAGCACATCTGTGAAAAACGGTTCCTATTGCACTTTCTAATCATGTTCTGAGTTCCAGTAGTAGTTAACACAAGGTAAACTTCATGTTTTAGTCTTGGATAGTCACACAAGTTGTATCTGAATTGCCTGAATCTTTTGAATTCACCCTGGTAGGTTGGAAATCTCAAAAGCCATCTGCCCTCCAAGGCATCCACCGCTTCTGTTCGCAATTCTGGATAGGACTTTGGTGAGAAAGGCTTCCTTGGCTTATACAGCACTTCCCAGGAGTACTCCAAGTCTGGATAATGAAACTGTTGGAGACAGGAAGACAAAAAAGCCACCAAAACTCCAAGAATAACAAGGATCTGCGATCGGTGAGGATATTAGAAGGGCAGCTGTAGCCCATATTACAGGTGGCCTATTGTGAATCTGACTCACACCTGCCCAGAAGTCTTTGTGGCAGGATGGAGACTGAAGCCAGCCCTCCAGACTCCCATGTCAGAGCCTGCATGGCTCCCCGGCGTTGCCCTCCAGCCATTTGAGCTCCATCCGTGCACCCAGCTCAGGGTCATAATTGGACATCGTCCGCGCCTCGTGAAACTCCCTCGGTGCTAAAGACGCCGTCCTTGTGTCTTTGTAGCTCTAGCGTGCAGCTGACAGAGTCAGTGCTGGATGGGAAGTAGCTCGGCGTGAGTATCCCCGCTCGAGCCCCGAGGATCAAACGCAAACGCAAGCCCTGATTTGCCCTGATTTCAAGTTTGGCAGGCTCAGCCTAGAAACAGCCGCTCCGCTGATCATTCCAGGGCCGGGACCAAGATTTGGGAATCAAAGGATCAAATCGCGATGGCTGGGGAAGAGAGTGCGGACGGGGCGGGTGGGCAGCGCGTCCTTGTTCTCTGGCTGCCTTACGTTAGCCTGGACGCCTGATGAGCAAAACGTTGATTAACGCACTGAAACCAGCTGAATTTATAGGCTGACGTGCCCACCCGTGCTAATGAGCTCGATTACACGGAGTGCAGGCTCGCTAATCAAATCTGTGGCCAAATCACTGCCGCAAGGGCGTAAACAATCTCCAAATCAGCACTGGCCCATCTCCGATTGCCATTGGCACCAAAATCCGGCTGTTTTGGGCTGGGGGAAGCAGCCGGCTCGGTCCGTGGGAACACCGCAACGCCTCAGAGGGCTCCGGGGAGCAGCTTGCAAAGAGGAGGCGCGAACGCTGGCGTCATTTCGGGGGGGACGCTTTGGCCGAAGACGAAGCGGTGGCTGGATCTCCTCCTCTCCCCCCCTTTTCCCTCCGGGCTTGCGGTGGCAGATGGGGCTGCGGTTTTCCCCGGCGGAGCCCCTTTTTTCCTTCCCGTCTCTCCGG